TATATTACTATTTATTTATTTTTTTGAAGCGAAGTTCTTATATATTTCAAAAAACTGATTAAAAATTACAAATGATTAATCAAAAGAGGTATTTATTTTGGGAGATAATAAAGCGGAATATTGAGAAAAGTGGTCAACTAATCGAGAAAAATAAGTGTAAACGAATAAAAGTGAGAAAACATGTTGTCAATACCATGAATTGAAAGGATTCACTAGTAGAAATAACGAGAGTATAGCATAGAGATCAGAATAGACGAATAGAGATGGATATACCAGGGCAAAACCAAGAAAAGAAGGTGAAACATATATAAGGAGATACACCAGTCTTTCTTTTACAAATAATTGTTTTTTTTTTTCTAAAATATACCAACTATTTCATATATATTCCATTTCTACTTTCTTCATCGAAAATGGGTTGGAAATTCATATAAAATATATTTCTCAATTGCTTGAAAAGGCTTTCCCAATTACTTTCTTAATTATCCGAAAAGGTTTTGCCAATTACTTGAATTTTTTTTTTTTTTCAATTATTTGAAAAACACAATATACAAGGTCAAATAAACTAAGGTAGCAATATACTACATTTTTCAAATAATTGAGAATTTTTTTCAAGTAATTGGAAATTGTGCCATTATTATTTGTAAAAGTAAAATAAAATAAAATAAATAATAATAATAATAATAATAATAATAATAATAATAATACTGTCCTTTTCAAGAAAATCGAGTCAAAAGAGAAACTAAGGTGACAGGGCTAAAGGGGGCTAAGTTCATGATTCAACTCAATTAATGATAGTACAAAGGTGTATGTTTAAACATCCAAATGAATCCCACTTATCATCAATCTTGATTGTCATGCAATAAGACTGCCTTATGTTTTATAAATATGATATAAGCCGTTTTCATTTTATTAAAATGATCAAGTTATCATATGAGCTATAGCATTTACATTTATTAGAATAACTTTATATCAGTTTGTTGGAGACGTCTTTCAGTTAACAACATTATGAATGGTAACTCTGAACTTGATCCCAAAGCTTTTTATTTATTTGTTTCTGATTATGAGGACATCGCTAATATCAACGAACAGGCAAAAAAAAAAAAAAAAAAAGGTTGTGGAAATCTATGTCTAGACTTGCTTTAAGAAATGTTTGTCAATTGCTTTACATGGGAACAAGAAGTGTATTTGAAACTTAATGAGCCATTTTTTTAATCCTTTTATATATCAATACTTTAATCCACATGAAGCTATTTTTATAAGTCCAGAAAATCTCACATATTAATAATTAGGGCCTTGGTATTATTAATCTCATCATGAGGTTGGTTTTCTTACTATCAACATGTAAATTATGACTTGTGCTTAATCGAAACGCGTATTTTACTAATGCAAAAATACAAACATGCAAAAATTACAATATTGCAAAATTGTATGTTTAACGACGACTCTTTTTAATTATTTGTTTATTTTTCTTCACCATTTCATCAATTATTATTAATAAATAACTTGCTATTTTTTTTTTATCAATGTATTGAGATAAACGATAAGAGCGATTTTCAAAATAGGTTTATATACCCATCCATTTGCAGTGTTTTTTTTCTTTCGTTTTTTTTTTTTTTTAAAAAAAAAGGGGGAGAGAAATAAAACAACTAGCCTCCGATGGGAGAGTCGAAACATGGTATACAACCACAAATTATTCTTGTTATTAAACTAATCAAATATTCATATCTAATAAACCACTACGTATTCGCTTTTTACCTGTAAAATGCTACATTGAATAATGTATGAGCGGAATTTACGTTTTTTCAGAAATGAACACTGTTGAAAAGAAGTATTTTGGGTATTCACATGTACGAATCGTGTTTTATACTAGGTATCTTAGGGGATCTCAGTATTCCGAATTACCACCACAAATTTCTCATAATTATACTTTAATTTTTTTGTCATATATAGAAAGTTATATAACAGGTTATTGAAGTAAATCCACATTTCTAAAAGAGAAGAAATATTCCATAACAGATTTTTCGGCATAATGGTAGCGAATATCAGTCACAATGTCCAAATTAATTGAAATCAATTGGTCACAGATATCTATATTGTTATTCCATATCGTTAAAAACGAAATGTTTGTTAACAAGGCTTTGGATATAAAAAATGATATTTGATTTACTTACATTGAGTTCAGGGTGTTTTGTTGTCCTATATCCTGAGTTTTTTTTTTTTTTTTTCACTTTAAAGATTTTTCTGCGTTTAATAATACTAAAGAACCATGGATCTATGCAGATATGTATCATATTTGTTTTCTATAAGATATTCTTTAAGCAGCAAAATTAATGTTACAATTAAATCTTCACTTGTTAAGATATGGCACGAGATTAAAAATAGTAAAATATAAAACCATAATCGTGCCTCAAGTAATTGAATCGGGTTAAAAAAAAGTAAAAGAATAAAAGGGGAGGAATGACCTTGGGCTTTACACGTGTGATTGTAATGCATCCATAGCATCATGGTGTGCAGTGTGGTTCTCAGGCATGAATTTGTGATCCCACTTTTCGGAAACCCTAACTTTTACAAAATCTAATCCGAATCTCATCAGCCAATTATATAAAAGCTCTATCTGTTCTACAAAAGTAATTGATTTCTACAAAAAAGAAAATAAATGGTACCACTATTAGTTGATTCTTTTTCATGTTGCTTCAAAGATAAATGCAAATGAGATACAAATTCCAAATGTTTTGAAGGATTGCTTTCACTTGCACAATTTTATTCTAGACAATCATTTAGCAGCTTATTTATCGATTTATATATATATATAATAATAATAATACAAAAAAAACTGTAACATTTTCTGTGCACCAAACACCACTCAAAGCTCCAATATAGTAACTACACATTTCGTTCCGTTTGGCAACACCAATTTTTTTGGTAGTACATAGGCATGAAGTTGCTGCATGATGTACAACTGTATTGATGAACAGTGTCCTCCTTTTTTTTGCTCAGAAAATTTTGTATTACCATGATCGCGTCTATTTTTTTTGTCTTTGGGAATATTTTTCTCTTTTTTCGACAACCAAAAAATAAATGATCGATTTTGTCATCTCGTGAATATACTATTCATTGTGTAACGGCTAAAATTTTGGACCCATAGTTCGGTATTACCATTAGCATAGATAAACTAATAAAATCCTGGCAATTTAAGTCAATATTGAAGCTGAGTACTCACAAACCCTTTTATAAATCCATATTAGCTAATAATACAAGTGTATTATATTCGTTTGTTTTCTTTTTTTAAGAAAAAAGAAAAATAAAGAAAATAATGTGAACGAAGCACAAAAAGCCGGTAATTCAAATGCAATGATTCCAGTTTTGCTCAGAATGCTTGCTCACTTTTTTCATAAGGGTGTACACGAGCACAGAAAAAAAAAAAATACAACCTGTTTATTTTATTGATAATTGAGTCAATTAAGTTGTTAGTTAAACGTTTCATCGATGTATTGTCTGTTACTCACAAGAGTTTCGTGTTTCCTCTTTGAAATCATAAAAAGAACAATAAGTAAAAAAAAGAAGCATCATATTTCCATATGTAGTAATAAAACAGATTATACTAAAACCACTCATCTTTAGTGATCCATACACAGTACTAATATCATGGCTTCTTTCCCATCAGATTTATAATAAGTAATTTTTTTTTTCTCTAGATTTAATTCAATAAAACGTCTTAGTCAAGGTTATAGTATGATATGAATATACGCTCCAAATTACATAGGAGAAATTTCAATTCCCGAATAGAGTACTTAGAAATCAGAAAAAAACAGTGTAAATGTTCAAACGTGAATAACTAGAACTAAACTAATGTCTGTTTAAAAATAATTCAATCGAAAATAGAATTATTAGATCTATAATTTTTTGTTTGAGAAATAGTCGAGTGTATAATCATTTTTCAAATAAATAATCGAATAAGAACTTTACCTATTTTTCAAAGAAAAGGCTGTAAAGTGTTTTACGTTTAAGAAATATCTATTAAATTACGGAATATATGCTTATGGCACTGTATTAATTTCTATATTTTCTTTCAAATCTGACAGCTTGTATAAGTATACTCAAATAGTACTTGTGCACTATCCAATGTCAAATTATTATATGTGTTCATCATTTTTGAAGTGAAGATCCTTTTCCCAATTCTTGACACTACACCATGGTTTTTGTAACATTTAGCTCATGTAATCCACATAGACTTCTGAATTCCATTATACCCGTGAATCAGAATAAAAATTACAAACAAGGAAATTGAAGTAACAACCTTCTAAATGCGTAACCTCACAATGCCACAGTGATGAATCTCTTTCTTTGATCATTTTTTCTTCTTTTTTTTAGAAAAAAAAAAAAAGTGTTATCATAATGAATATTAGAGCCATCTATTCTTTAGACACGATATAGGCATCATATTTCAGAGAGTACCCAGTATATATATTTGTAATTACTACAATATCTTCCTAATAAAATTTCAACCATTAATATAATCAAACTATGTACTGAATAGATTAATAATAAAAAAAAGACAAATTCATTAAAGCTAGAATAATAACCGTAGTGATATTAGAGGATGCTATAAAAGTCGATTTTTTATTTAAATCACAAGAAAGTGAAGATAGTTTTTGTGAGAGTTACAAATAACTAAACATAGAACGAATTTATGTGCCTAAGACATAGAAAATTAAACTAAAGTTAAAATGGATGACGTATTCTACGAATGGAAACCTAGCAAAGATAAAAGATTATTTCAAATTATAAAGTCAAAATTTAACAAGGGCAGTAATAAAAAAAGATCACTACTTTTCAGTTATCTCTACTATTATTGCCAATGACAATACAACTTTGATAAGATTGGCGAGTATGAAGAAATAAAAAAGAAAATGTGATACAAAAAATATCCAGAAGATCAAAGAAAAAGAAATGGATTGCTTGTTAAAAAAAGTTTTTATTTAAACAAGTGAACTTTCAAAGTCCATAAAGTGAGAAATCAAATAAATAGATAGATCAATTAATAAATAATAAAGAAAAAGATGGTTCGGTAGTATTAAGAAACTACATAACTAGCTTTTCTTTTTTCTTTTCAAAATAAAGAAATTTAAGCGTAGGCAGCAACAGCGGCAGCGAAAGCAGCGGTGATTCTGTCAGCATAACCTTGGGCAGTGGAGGCGAGGTCGGAGGGGGTGTTGGCAACCAAACAGGTGGAGACAGCGGAGGTCTTGGTGTTCAAGCTGTTGATGTCACCCTTAACAAGAGGAGTGACAAGGGCAACAGAGTCAAAGACGCTCTTCTTGTCAATGATGGCTTGTAAAGCAGCCTCGATTTGGGTGGTCAAGGGGTCAACTTCAGCAATGACAGCATTGGCATCCTCATCAGAGACGGGACCAGTGACAGCACAACAGTCGGTCTTGGCAGTACCGAGCTTGGTTTCAAGAGGGCTTTCCTGTGATTGAACAGTAAGGGCACCAGCGTAACCTTGAGAGGCAGTG